AAGAAACACCGCTATTGGTGTGGGATCCTTTTGTTCTTCAGCGACCGACTTTCTAGTCTTTCGACGTCTGAGGCGCAACCGCCGATGGGGATGTGACTGGAAACCCACCAAACTTGGTGGTCGTCTCTGAGACGTGGTGTTGAAACCAAAGTTGTCAGAACGTGCAACTTGTGGTGTGTGTGTGTGTGTGGTACTTCCCTGCTGTAGGACATCATTTGTGGGTGTTTTTGGGTGAGGGCACCGTTCTTGCGGCGGGTTTTTAAAGTCAAGTCAAGAGGAAATGGGGCCGCTTTTGGAGTTCACCCTTGTGGGGACGAACATATTAGTTAAGCGATCGCAGTAGAGCTATTGAAGAGCTTTGGTGAAGCAACTTCGATAGAACTGTCTAATCAATGTATGGAGACACTAAAATATCACATGGGCGCACTGCCAAGAAGCCATGGTTCCATTCTTCTCCGCCCGGGCCATTGAATTTGCTCGGGATGTTTTTGCAACAAAATCAATCATTGTCAACCTCCTTTCCTGATTTCCGGTTTGCAAGGTGACTTGATTTCCCCAAGTTGCCCTAATCAAAGTCGTTGGTTTGTAGTTTGTTTGAGTGACTCGACCCCAGCTGAATTTGCCAAAGTCGTTTCCAAGCCACCCGAGTCTATACCCGGCTAGATGTGGCCCGAATCGAGCTGCGAGTCCGTCGCTCAGGAGTTTCGAGGTGAAAGGCGAGACCTCAGGCCGGAGAAATGTGTGTGTGTGTGTGTGCGCGTGTGTCTGTGTTTTTTTTGGGCTAGGCCTTTAGGGGTCTTAAATGGGCGAAAGTACCCCGACACAACCATGGCAGTTCGTGGTTCTCTAATGTTATGGCGGGACCCAGTCGTATCTCACTAATGCTGTTTCCTGACGCCAGCCGCGTCGTTTCCTGCCTTTGATCTATTTGAAGTCGCCCCATTCAAGGCGGGGTAATCCACCCATAGCGACCCCATTTTTCCATCGGCGATGGAGACCACCGTCCAATGCAGGGGCGCGAATTCTGGTGAACTGGGGCTGCGGGTGGAGGGCACTAATTTATGGAACGGTTTGACTCGAACCACCAAGGGGCCCCTGGTCCATATCTTGGGCAATGAGCAGGATTTGCTGACATTTGGTGAGCGGCTATACCTTTTGACTTTGGTTGCTGCCAAGAGTGGCCCAATTCTCCGAAAATCCCATCACCAACGGGTGGCTCCTTCCGACAGGTGATGAGGCGAAGACGGCCTGCAGCAGCCACGAGGCGAGAGCGGGAGAAGAGGATTTGGGGGGTGGTTCATGGTATTGCACAGTTGTTTTTGGGGGTAGCTTAAAAAACCTGGTTTTTGCTGAGGCTCGGGTGGTTTGGGTGATTTTCCCAGGAAACAAGCAGGATACCGAAGCCTCTCTTTTTTTGTGTGTTGGGGGGGGGTCCACCATGTTTAGACAAATCGTTTGTTTTTTGTGTTTGCTTTTTTTTGAACCATCGACTCCACTGGGACCTCTTTTGATGTCATTTCATGGCGCTTGCCACCAGAACAAAGCAGAAATCCAAACACATGTTTCGTGTCTTGAACATGCAGATAAGGATTACGATGCGGGTTTCTGCCGGTCAAAAGCACCTTCAGAAGAAGGTAATTCTTACATTGGGGAGCCGCACTGGGTGTTGATTGATTTTCCATTAACCTGTCAGACATGTCAAATCAAAAAGAACACGTTGGACTGTTTTGGAACTCTTTTAGGTCTGGTTAAGTGTGATGAAACCAATGCCATCAAATAGTTTGCTTGCAAAAGTACATCAAAATTGGAACGACACAGATGAGATTAGCACGGCCCCTGCGCAAAAAGGACACACACACACACGCAAATCGAGAAGTGTAACAAGTGTTGCAGCTGAACAGCTTCTTGAGTGCAACCTTCAAGGGGTACAAGGTTGTTGAAGGAGACACAACCAGACATCGAAGAAGCAGTGATGGCGAAGATCAGCGCTTTGAAGCAGTCCAGAGGGGTCTCAAGGAGGCTGGAGAACAAGAAGGAACCAGACACAGACGAGACTTTCAAAAAGCTCGGCGAGTTGCTAGCCGACCTGAAGTCAAGTATGGATTGCATCCCCAAAGGGCAGTCGAGTTCGAGCAGGACGTCGCCTCCATTTCTCAATGAGCGCAGTTACAAGGGGACTTTCAATTTTGCTTCCTGGTGCCCATTGCTGGCAGTCAGGGAGTGTATCGCGCTGCCCCTGCGTTCACAAACGTCTGCATGCACTGGTTTGTTTTTCCGCCCAACACGGCACCAAGCTGTGCGTCCAGTCACTCGACTCGACTCGGCTTCGACTTGGGGCCACGAGCCCTGGGACTTTGGGATCGGAAGTCTTCGGGGCCCCGGAGCCATAGCGCCTTCGCGTCAGGGCGCGGAAGGCGCGGAGGAGGCGGAGCTCTACTGACCTGGCGGCCACCGAGTTGCAGCGGTAGCGGCCAAAGCAAGTGCTCGAGGAGATGTGGGCGCTTTGTTTGAGGATACCCTTTGTTAGATGGGTGAATGAGAAGCCAAAGAGGAAAGAATTGACGTTTTGTTTGGGGCCCGGTATTTTGACACACACACACATGTGACAAATGAAGGGACAAGAATCAATGTATACAAATGGGAGGGCCGGACATGTTTACAAGACACGTCTCGCCGCTTTTCTGAGAATCCAAGCACCTCCCCTGTCCACTTGGGTGGTCAAGTGGCCAAATCTCCAAGTCGCCTGCACCAGCAGCTGTACAGCGTGCAGTACTCCTGGCTGGCAGCAAACAACTGACATTTGCACATGAGCACTCTGAAATAAATCATTTGAACCCACTTGGTTTTCATCAAGCCCCCGCTTGATTTTGATTGGGGGGTGTTTTAGTTTGATCGGATCAAGCATCACTTGGGGAACCCCGAGCAATCCAGCTGGGTTCAACCGGGGTCAACATAAAGTCTTTGGTGGATCAGGGCTTATCTCACTTCCGGTGGCTGAGTACCCCTTTCTCAGGGTTTTGGTATTGCACCCTAGGAATACATGGGTATTGAGCCCCATTTAGGCACAAATGTCGGGAGAAGGCCGTGGTTATGTTGAACTTCTGGGTCACTTCCCAAGGGTGTAATCCCACAATGTAATACAAAAACCCTCAGACCCTTTTATAGCACAAGGTCATGCTTGTGGTAAAATGTGGCATTGGGTCACTCTTCACTCTCCTTCAAAAGTGACCAAGTAGTCCATGGCCACCGTGGACAAGTCGACTTTCCGGGAGAAAGCCCAAACAACTGGAACACGCAGCACGAGCCCGGATAAACCACGTCACAGCGGTCCGTATGTTTCCCCTTTTGGATAGTTGGAAAAAAAACTTATGGTAGCTCAGTTGGTTGCACTGTCCTTCAAGCAATCATAGCTCCAGTGGTGTCTTCTGCTCGTTTTTGTTGGAGCCCCTCTTTTCCCCACTGGAGGTCGCAGACAGTCGTGTTTTCTCGGAGCCCACTCAGAAGCACTCGACCTTGTGGCATGTGTGGGTTTCAGGGGGCACACATGATGCAGGTTGCTGACATGCCAATCCAAAATCCAGCGGTTGGTTGCTTCTTGAAAAAGTGGACCTTTCAAGCTGGGGCGGTGTCCTTTCGATGTTCAATCATCATCCACCAAAGGCGTCTCCCAGGACACCGCTGGTTGATCAGGAGCAGAAACGAATCAGGCTTAGCAACTCCACGCTGCCCAGCCGCCGTAATTGCTGTGCTTCGGATGGAAGACAGCTCCCATTTTTCTGGGCCCGTGGCTTCAGGGCAACTGTGCGCAGGACCCCCAGCGCGTCGAAGCTGCATGGACGTCAACTCTTCACGGCTTGGCTACCTGCCAACGCCGAATGGCAGGACTAGTGGTTAACACATGTGCAAGGTCCGCGGGGGAATCCTTTGCGAGCAGCATGCCCATTCATTCTGTGGTTCCAAAGGAACCAGAGAAATCTAACTTGCCTAAGGAGGCAAGTGTTAGCGCCTTCAGCCGATGAGTCATGACTCTTGGTCAACAGGAGATCCCGTCAGGTGCTCGTTTGCTCGCCGGCTGAAGGCTGGTGTGCACTTCAAAGTTGACGAGGGATCTATGCGAGACGCCTTGGACTACCAGCACGTCCCAACCGCTGCTTTTTGGACACTTTCGGGATTGACCTGGGAAAAAGCAGTGAGTTGGGGGGTGCTGGAAAAGTGGAGGCGTTTCTACTGAGCTTCTAAATTTCGATCAGACTTGCGGCGCCTGACATGCGATCCTTCTCAGTCCCCCCGCCCCCAAACAACCAAACAAAAATCTGGCTCGCAGGTCTCAGGTGCACGCCAGGGTGGGCAGAGGCGGACGGTCCCAAAATGCGCGAGCGAAGTCACTGCATGCTTGAATTGGTTTTACATTTGAAGTGTCACTACATTATATATATATATATGTATACATATATATATATATATATTTACATAGCATGTATATATGTACATACAGAATTGCATATAAATAAATATACATACACGAACCAGATTCAAAGACATGCGAACATCGTATTTTGGGTTCGGGAAACAGCTGCGGTGGATGGCCCTACCATGATAGACATGACTTCGGGATCTAGGATCATTTCCTCTACCTCAAGACTCCTGTTTTCAGAAGTCTTAAAGTATATACAACCACTATGTAGCCACTACATGCAGGGTTCTTATATTTCGCTTTTTCCCCGGGAGCAGTGGTGTGGGGGTCGTGGAAAACACCCCAGATCAGGTTCAAGCTGTTTCTTGTAGAGGTAAAAGGGATTTTCCCAGCCCACAAGATCCCCAAACCATTGGAGGGACGCGGGGTGGTTTGGGTGTAATTTAACTTCTGAATCCGGAGGACACCTTTTTTCGGTCGGAGGACAAATCAACAGTAGATCATGTCCTAGGTTGAACCACCCCTGAGTACGCTCCTCCGGATGAAGCCCCGCCGTTTACGGTGGAAACAAGCTGCGCCCCGCCAGGACTGGGCGGCCGCCGCAGGCCACAAAGCACTGGCCGAGCGCCTGGCGGCAGAAAGAGCGGCGAGAAAAGCGCGAGCGAGCGCGCGAAGCTAACGACCGGTGCTCTTTTGGGCTGACCAAAGGTCAACACATTTTCTTGGTGGCTTCCAGCCATCCCCTTAGCTTTTTAGACTTTTAGTGTTTAGTGGGGGTTTCCATTTGACCAACTAATAGTTAAACTTTTAGCAGGGGATCTGAGGGCAGCCCAGATGTGGGTTGCTGGACAGCCTTGGAATGGCAAGACGAAGAAGGCTTTCTGGGTGAAAGGTTGGTTTAGCTTCCTTTAGTTTCCCTGTATCACCGCATTGCTGGCCTTCGGGGCAGCGGTACCAAAATCCCAGGGATCATTTTGACAACATCCGGAAGAGTGGGTATTCTGATGGCGACAATCATTCCCAATTCTGAACCCCAGAGATATCCGCTTTTCAGCGATCCTGTGCTTGAGAATGTCTAGAATATTGTACGCACGCTGGCAGCGACACTTCTTCCATTCTTCTTTCCGCAACACTCCGGAACATGGCTTGCCCGGGCTTGGTTTTGGCCTTTTCAGTATTGCCATCCTGTTGACAAAGGTGCTCCTGCCTCAGCTACAAGAAGGTATGAAGAAGTCCTTGAAATTGCCTTCAACCCAGGTGACAGCTCAGTGAGCACACTATTGCTTGCTTTTCACACGAGCTGTTTAGACTAGTGCTTGTTCTTGACTTCGTATCAGACACGCGCTTGGAGAGCGCAACACCAAGTGCATGCTTGATATGCTGTTCTTACTGACTGTGTCAATGCGTTTCTATGAATGGGCATTATGCGCAGTCAGTTTGGTGCCTCATGTGAAGTTGCCAGGATGAGTCTAAGTCTTCCAAAGCCGGCCTTTTACCTTTGGGATATGATGGGTTCGTTTCAACGTAGCACCCCTCCATGGCTGGCTTTCCCTATATTATAGGCTTCCCTTCAACGCAAAGCAACCCTATAGGGGTGCTCTCAGCAACTCTCGGACAGCTGCGCAAGAGCCATCGAAGGACGTGCCATCTTCAATCCAGCAAAAGCTCTCGACGCTCCTTCAAGTTTGAGTCTCCTGGCTGAGTCGGTTCTTTTAACTTTGGACTGTTGCAAGGGAGGCTCAAGTTTGAAGATGGGTGGAACTGGATACCCTCGCAAAAACTCCCATGGGCGGTTGAGATATCCCCTTGGCACATCTGGACTGTTGGAGGTGACCCTAGGTCCGCAAAATCGTTGGCATAGCCCCACCCTTGCCTCTCAGGCGGGTCTCCCATGCATGGGGGTCCCAAAAAGCAGGGTGATTCAGAACATGAACCCGCAGAATGACTTGTGCAGATGTTCATTTTAGTCTCAGGTGGGTGTTGACCAGCACTTGCGGGCCATGTGAGAAATTGTTGGGGGTGTGATAAGAGTCCACATGTCACACAATTATGTGTATACATACATATATATATATATATAGATATGCCAGCCTATGCACCCATCCCTTTGAGGTGGCTTTTCTCGATCTCCTGTTGGGTCCAACTCGATGGTTTCAAGGAGCGATATTCAAACGCGGCCCATTTGAAGACATGTGGAGACAGAGAAAGGATCGGAGTCCGAAGTTCGGCGTTTTTTTTTTTTTTTTTTTGTCTTTTCTTACCTGAAAAAGCCTCTGCGAGACCATTCTCCTCACAGACCTTTGTCAGGTGACTTGTTTGTTGGAGGGCACTTGAGCCATTGTCTCTGGTCGTAATTCATGGTCACCTGCTGAAATGGCGGTCCATTCTCCAGTGATATGTTGGTCAGTGTGCCCCATTACCTTTGAGAGTATCACATATTTGCCAGACTTAGCTTGCCAGTTTGAGGTTTTGCCTTTTTGTTTGGTTTGCCCTTTCAACAAGCAGTGCATGAAGTTGTTGCAGGGGCTCTGAGTTTGGCCCAAATTTACCGTTGCCGAATGTCACTCAGGAGAAGGTCGCTCCGGGCACTGAGCCTGTCGAAACCAGCCAAATTCACGGATCGGGCTGGGCTCTTTTGTTTTTTCGCCAGATAGCTGAAAGTATTGTGTTAGGGGTGCTGGCGTTTTTGCTATTTGGGGTCTATGCTGGTGTGAACCGCGACTTGTTTCTGGCCAAGGTGAGGTCACGCGGATGGCGGATGGCGGTGTATGATCTGAATGTCAGCATGTTGGTTCGTGAGCTGAATCGAGTGTCGGTTTCAGTTTCCCCGCGTTGCATACTCCTCTACAAATTAGCATGGAACCCAACAGCGGGCTGTGTTTCGGACTCCAGGCGGCTGTGTGGACCTGTTGCGTCAGGCAGGAGACTTTCCCTGTTGGATGCTAAGTAGCTCACATATTGCATATTCCCTCTAAAGATTTGATGCTATTTCCGGTGCCTCGCTTTTAGCACCTGGCTGGGGAGTACTGATTCCGTAAGCTCGCTCAGGCGGGCGCTGTCGCTGTGTGAGGCATGCACTTTGCGAGGGCTCCCCTTTGGGGACTGCGTTTCTTGCGGTCCGTGTTTGGCCTTTGAAATGCCGTATCGGTGTGTCTCAAGATCGGGCATCCCAAAATGTTGTTTGTCTCTTTGGTTTCCCTTTAAACCAACGCAACAAAGGGGAACCACAAAAACAAACAGACCCATATGATGTTGCCATGGGATGTGTCAGAACGTGTTTCGCATGTGAATTCCTTCGATATTGCTGAGTGATATCCCTGCCCGAAGGGATTTTGCTTCCAGAGTTCTGCTCCTGGAAATTGTCCGGACGTATTGAGGACTTTTTCTGCGGGCATCAAGTCAGGTTTTAATCAGCATCGCTTGATGCCTCGGGCGCCGGGCGTGTGCCATAAAACGCCCGCAACGCGGTGAGCGAAGTGCTCTTGCCCGTAAATCTCGGGTGTAGGCATGCGGCCCAGCGCCGGGAGTGGAACTCAAAACAAAATCGGCACCAGACGCGGACAATGTATCCGACGGTGACAGCAAGAGCACGGATCTGGCAGCGTTGGGAAGCAGGAAGCTTTCCGTTTCGAGTGCCAGACCTGGTGGAAACAGTAAGTGCTGAATCATGTAGGATGGCACGTGTTCCTTTTTGTTGGAGCAAGACGCCATTGACCCTGTTTCAAAGTGGTTTCCTGGCATTTTGCATTTGTATGCAAAATCGAAGAAACTTGACTTGGCCTTTCAATTGGGTTGCCGTTAGGTTGCTGCCGTCACTGCACCGCTCAAGCCACTGCTCAGCCTTGGGACTGCGTGCCACAAAGAGCCGAAGCATGGGGTTGCGAAAAACCGTTCGCACCGTTGGGTGTGATTTCTGAGCATAGGTGTCCCCTTTTTGGTTGTTTTGGTCGAAAAGTAGACGGGTTTCGATTCCTGGTTTACCTGGTGGTGCAAGATCATCTACCACGGAAATCCGAATCTATTTGCCCTAAAAGGACGCCTATGTTTCTGAGGGAACCCTTGACCAGGTTGGTTAACAGGGAACCGGGCAAACTGCCATAGTTGGGGCCACTGCACGTGTGACACACGCATTTGGAATGAAGCAAGTCTGAGGTGTTGGGGTCAGGAGCATGCGTGTCAAACTCTAGCATGCCGCATGTTGTGCACGAAAGGGCTCAACTCAAACAAACAAGCAAGCAGGCCACACCTTCTTTCCATGTCCTGCTCCACAGTCAAACAACAGCATAGATGACCTTTGGCAGATACACGACAGGAGCCACATGGTCAATATCAATTTGGGTCAGGATTCCCTGTTTCCTGGTATTCGGTGTTTTGCTGCGTGTGCCTCATGTCATCCCCCAAACTTAGATGACAGTCAATATTGTTTGTTGCTCACTAATTACGGCACATGGCATAGATTTCCGGACACTGCCACGGCCAGCTCGTTGCTGCTTCGCCGGTGCCCGCATTGGGCCTTTCTGCGCGGAAAGGTCCTCTCCGCGTGGAACTCGGCCCGTGTGCGTTTTGACGAATCACCCGCTCGCGGTGAATTCGCTTGTTGGGATCCGAAATCCAAAGGCCGCAGAGCCCCTGGTTCAGTGGCAAGCAATCGACTTTTCTCGAGAGCACGAGCTCACTGGCCCTCTTGGCTTTGAGGTGCATGTTTGGCCCATCTTGGATCCCAGCGGAGACCTGCAGCAAGCCGAGGAGCACCTGAAGGAGGCACTGAGGATGAAGTCCGTCTGTGACGCTGACCATGTGAATGTGGCAGTCACTTTGCATGAGCGCTGCCGGGCGTGACGCTTAGTCGAAGGTGGAGAGCCTGAGAGAGACTGAGAGCCAACGCCTCCGCTGAACGGAAGAACTAATCTAAAATGACTTCAGCAGGGAATGAGGGAAGGATCCCTATAATGAACCATTTTCTATGGCTTCCTTTCAGGGAGTCCCTAGGTTCATTCACAAACCCAGGGTCATTCCCTACTGAGCACCAGAAAGATGAACTCCCCACAAGAATAGGTACCCTTGTTTTAGCTTGTTTTCCCATGGGTACGGGGTCTGGGTTATATTCTCGCTGTGACGCTCGAAATCGATTCGGGTAGGCCATTAGGGGACAGTCCCAACAATAGACGGTGGATGTCTGGACATTTTAAGCCAAGCTCACCGATTCAGTGGTAACATTCCGAGGTCCAGCTCACACAAGTTGACTTTCTTGTTCTGCGGCCATTGCAAGGAATGTCATCTCAGCGTGACTTGTTTTGGTTTGAAACAGAAATCTTTCCAGCCGCGCAATCGCCCCGCTTGAGCTGGGCCTGGCTTGCTCAAAGTCAACTTGTTTGTTTTGTTCAGATGTCAGTGATGTTCAAGGGATTTCGGCTAATCCCCGGACACTGAACCCAGCTTGACCTTCAAGATCCAGACTGAAGGCGCAAAGGCACTCGTCGTTGGGGGGAACATTTCCGGATGAACTGGTCAGAGAACATGAGCAGTTCATTCGCTCCGAGCAACGCAGCGGGTACTTCGCGTCCTCAGCCCGGGCCATGTGGCCATTCGGTGTTTGTTTGTGCGTTTCGTTTGCATTGGGTTAAAAACACAAACAGGTTTGTCTCAACACG